TTGGTCCGTCGAACGAGTCACAAAGAGTAGGTGTCCCATCGACAAGGAAAAAAAATCGCCTTTGCTTCCCAGTCTACAAGGACCGAAAAGAAAATTGTGTTTGAATATTAACAAAACAAAAGCAAAACGTTTCTAAAGGGGAAAAATACTTCAAACTGCCATACCAGTAATCATCGGAGTTCATCTCAAACATTCCCTCTCTACATGGAATCTCGATATTCAGCTCATGAATACTGTCCCGACGTCATCACACTCAGGCTTCACCTCTATACGTCGGCTCTGAACACCCTTTTGGCTGGCCAGGGAGCGCCGCCCGGAACCCATTTTCAGACGCTGAAGGTGCAGGTCCGCTAAAATTGTGACAGTGAGACAGCTATACTATTTGCCTTTCAGATAGAATTTCAAAGGACTGTAGTTTGCAATAATACTGTATTGGCGTATAATATACTGAATACCATAGTTAATTCATCATTTTTTAAAAATTCTTGGAAGTATATTTTGACCTAGTAAGAAATTACAGTAACGTGTGTGTGTGTGTGTGTGTGTGATATCTATTTTACGAAATGATGGTAATTAGATAGCTACGAGACTCATTTCAACTTGAGCAAATATCAAGCAATAAGGCGCTGCTAATAATATGATGGTGCCTGAAAATGTGGACAATCAATATATCCAGTGATTCTCTCTATCTCTCTATCTACCTATCTTTCTGTCTACTCATCTGTCTATCCATCTATCAATCCATTTATCTATCCCTTTATAGATAGCCGACGACTCATGACTAAACAGATTACCGCACCTGCGAGAATGCTAATGAGGCAGTCAGCCCCGCCCACATATGTCTGCTCACATATAATTGATGTAATGACGCTTTCTTTAACAAACACATACGGGAATTATGCACATACACCATGCAATATTAGTGAACAAACTTCCCTAAATGCCTCCTCATGATATAAAAGCTGTAATGTTATCATGATCGAGACTGATTCGCCAGTATATATGATTAACCAGTTTGTATATATTGTAATGGAAATTGCAGCTACGCAGTGCAGTGTCACTAAACCGAAGTTGGATGCTACTTAAAAAAGCACGAACAGGAACTGTAAACAACGAAAACTAATGTTCTGGACAATATTACGTTTAACGTAGTAAAAGAGAAAAAATAAATAAAATCAAAAAGAGTTTGTTAAACGCCCGTTCTGGAGTGTTTCTTCTAGTCCAGAAGACAAATAATTAGAACATCAATGGCATGGAAGTTTTTGTCTGTAATTGGAAATACCTAAATGGTGAACACAAAATACAAAAGAAACCACCAAATAGGTGATTTACGGAGACGAATTGCTGGCTTGCACAAGGCTTTTCCATCTCTACGCCAGGCGAAAAAATAAGTAACTTGTGTTGCGTTCGGAACCCCTTGTTTTGCTCTGCCAGAAATGTCAGGACCAGCAGGGCGAGACCGCGTCCGGAACCTTTTTTTTTTATCATATCGGTGTCTTTATTTTACACGCTGCATAAGTTTTGTAACTGTTCAGATCCATAGGCAACTTACCTGCAAATGTCAAATACAAAAAACAACCTTTGATATCAACAATAAAGGGCCATGAGATTATTCGAAACTATCATTGTTTATATACAAATGTTATTGTAAATACTTTACACCGCTAAATAACAAACCAAAAAATGTACGTATCATTTTTTTTGTCTGCCAATTAGGAGAGGCTTTAACCGACTTCTTGACCTAGACCTACTCTGATTGGCGGAAAACCACAGGTGAGGAGGTATATAAGGCCGGGCATGACCTGTCTCGACACACCTGTCCCAGGCCACAGCAAATATGGACCAACTCTCAGTGATGAACTTCCAGCCTTTGACGTGGGCCTTCAGCCACCCATGGGCGCCGCCCGTCAGCCCTCCTCCCGCCCACATCATCACGCCCTCACGGATGTCCCACAAGGCCAAGGCCTTCACCATCGACGCCCTTCTGGGACTTGACACTCAAAACGATCTTCCTGCCGCACCCACATCTCCGCCTGCATCTCCGCTCTCCCTCCTTCATGAGTCCTACGACACCAGCCCTAGGGACGCCCCCGGAAAGATCAAGCGACATCGCACAGTGTTCACGGACTCGCAGCTTCAGCGACTGGAGGAGGAGTTCCAGCGGCAGCAGTACCTGGTGGGCCCCGAGCGGAAGCAGCTTGCGAACCAACTTCAGCTGAGTGATTTACAACTGAAAGTGTGGTTCCAGAACCGACGCATCAAGTGGCGCAAGAACCAGCTCAGCGCGACGCAGGATCGCGATGCCTGCACGTCTCCTCCGGCGTCACAGTAGGAAGATGGCGGAGCCGCTTCTTCTCCTGTGATCAAAGACATCCCAGTGACAGTCCTTGCGCCTACTTTAACGAAAATCTAGTCTGCATCAATAAATTGCATTTAATCGTCAACCTGCGTCTTTATGATTCCCCGTCAAATATGAAAGAGAACATTATTTAATGAAATATCTATAAGTAAATGCTGGAGTCATCTTGTGAAAAATCATTTACACTAGAAGAGGTTACAGCCTTTGTCTTGGCTCCTTGATGAAAATGAAAAACTTTTTGACAATTACATATGGATATACACATCCTGCTTACATATGTATCTTTCGTTATGCAAACTTAAAATGAAATTAATAATGATCTCTAAGAATAACAATTTATATCATGGGTAAAAGGAAATGAAAATTACACGGTCAGTGGTTTGAAAGATGAATATAACATGTAGAATAGAGTACCTAATTTTGCCAAATGACTGAAAGACCTACATCAGTGACAAATACAGAGAACACAACTTAATGTTTGAAGAGAAGACGGTGCTATCAGTTTTTCGTCATCTTAAAATAACAGCAAGAGGTTTTGAAAGCAAAATCTATATCTTTATATCTACTTGTATGTATATCTTATCTATTTATACAAGACCATATTTGTCTATACACATATAAGCACATACACGAGATACGTACACACACATATATATGTATATATGTGGGTGTCTATATATGTATATATACATGTATATATATACATATATACACATATACATACACACACACACACATATATGTGTGGGTGTGTGTCTGTCTGTCTGTCTGTATATATATATATATTTTATATAGATATGATATATATAAACACATGTGTATATATAGATATACATATGATCTTTCCTATGAAAATTACGAATCTATTTATTACAAGGAGCAATAACAAAGAGCGCTACTTTTACCATTTTACGTTAATTTATAATTCCATCTCACCAAAGTTAAGCATCTCTTGAAACCTCTTTATTCCCCAGCATCCCATGAGCGTCTTCCTTGTATCAGCCTTTCTCGCATGGGAGGCGTGATTAAAAGGCTAATTTTAGTTGCCCTACAGAATGTGAATTCACCTTCCTGGCGCCTCGAGGCAGTCGGTTTGTCTAGACACAAGTCGAAGATGGCGCCTGATCTGCGTATACGATATTACTCGACATTTTTCGCGAGCAGATATTTCCCAAAGTCACTGAATTCTGTCTATTTATCTATCTATTTAATAATCCATTATGATTTATCTCGAAGTAAAAGGCAACAATTCCGGAAGTCTATAATCATAGGATAACGCACCTTCTGTACCTAAGTGGAGCCTTTTAAATAGCGAGTGTGCCAGTGAGTAATGAGGTGACCTGACCTGCCCTGATCTGCCTCATGACTGGAGCTCCGGTGTCGCGACGTCTGCTCCGCCTTCTCGTGTAGTGGGAGAGCCTCACCGTCTGCCTTTCAGTTCTGGAACTTTAATAAAATATGTGTTATTATTGTCGAAATTCTATTAAGGACAGTAACAATAGTTCCTGTTTATATGGAATCTCATCCCCTATTAAATACCTTCGAGTCTTCCTCTCAGTCAACAAATGAAACAGCACAAAAAAAAAAATCCTGTATAAGATATCTCGAGGCTGCTTGTGAAATATGATGTAGTATCAAGTAAATTTCCCCTTGTATTAAAGGCATATAACGATTCTTAAATTACAAGGCAAAAATCCGAAGAGGAAAAACACGAAAGAGAAGAAAGAGAAGAGGAAATAAAACAAACGAAAATCCAGAAGAAACCAGTTAACGGCCACGAAACACATCCGGACAAAGCTCTGACGACCAATTTTGTGGCTCGCTAATCCCATCATTCCCTGCCTGGCCCTGTTAATCTGGTAATTGAAGCGTGTCATTCCACTGGGCTCCAGCGACGTGAACTCAGGGTGTGCTCAAGGACGTGTGTGGAGCGGGGAACTATACTCGTCAAAGAACTTCGGGCAACAGATAAGGATTCATTGTCTTTATCTTCATACCATCACTATCCTAATAACTACCATTGTTGTTCTTACTGTTGCTGATATCATTGTCGTTATCAAAATATCACCATCGTCATTATTACTGTTAGTATTGTTATCATTATCATTATTATATTCATCATGGTATCATTTTGTTCAATATTACTACTAATTATGATTAATCATAACTGGCAATAAAGTGGTAACGGCGTTTATAATACATACTCATGACCCCCCCAAAAATAATAATGGCGAAATTGATCATATTGATGAAGACTACGATAAGGAAGTTAATGATAATTATAATGGGGTTAAAATAGTAACATAAACACTTAATTTTTTCAATCCTTATTATCCCGATGATGATGATTATTATCAATACTGTTATCATCTTTATCGTTACCATTTCACTATCACTACTGTCATTATTAGTTACTAATATCATACGTATTGGTAGTATCATCAATACTGTTATTTATTTTTATCACTGTCATGGAAATATTTTTTCATCGCTGTTTTTATTGCAATATATTGAGTTATTATTATTATTATTGTTATTATTATTATTATTATTATTATTATTATTATTATTATTATTATCTTCTTTTGCACAGCTGATGTTGCTGGAGTTTTCACCTGACACCAAGCGGCTTCGCGTCGCCTTAGGTGTCAAGGACTTTCCTCAGTATCCTTGCTGTTCCTAGGATACAAGCTTGTTGAAACTTTCCAATTAGTTCATACATCTCTAACTTCTTCAACCATTCTGGAACGTCACGATGGATGGTTCCTAGGGCTCTAATCACCACTGGTATGATGTCGACTTGTTTACATTTCCATATTCTCTTGATTTCTCTCTTTAGATCTTGATATCTGTCGACTTTTTCCTTCATCTTGTTTTCCACCCTGGTGTCAAATGGACATGCTACATCAATAATTTGACATGACTGCTGTTGTTTGTCATAAAACACGAGATCTGGCCGATTATGTTCAAGCTGGTGGTCTGTTTGTACCTTAAAGTCCCACAGGATCTTGTACCTTTCTGTTTCTATCACTCCTTCCGGTTCGTGATCGTACCACTTATCAGCTCTCTTTACACCAACTCTTCCACAAAACGCCCAATGAATTATCTGCGCAACCTTATCATGTCTCCAGTACTTGTACTGTTTTTGAGCTAAGGCACTGCATTCGGTGATGATATGACTGATGGTTTCGTCTCTGTCTCCGCACAATCGGCACTTTGGTGAGATATCAGCTTTATCGATGTACTTTTTGATAGCATTTGTTCTTAGGGCTTGATCTTGTGCAGCCATTATTAGTCCTTCAGTTTCTTTCTTTATTATTCCTTTCTTCAACCAATCCCACGTAAGTCTGTGTCTTCCGTCTTCAGTATCTCTGATGAATTTCCCATGGAGTTCCTTTGCTTTATATCTTTCATATTTCTCTTTCATGATGTTATCAGCATTCGGTCTTTGTTCTTTCAGGACTTGTTCTTTCACTACAGCTATCAACATTGTTTCTGTTGACTTCTCTAGGTATTTACTCAAACTTTGGACTTCGATGGCAATACAGTCTTCAACTCCTATCAATCCCCTTCCTCCTTTAGATCTTTTTACGTACAGCCTATCAACATCAGCTTGTGAATGAAGACATCGGTTTATAGTCAGCAACTTTCTGGTCTTCCTGTCCATTTTTCTCATCTCCTCCTTTGTCCACTTAACAATACCTGCGCTATATCGCACGACCGCAACTGCTCTTGAATTTATTGCTGTTATGATGTTTCCTCCATTGAGTTTGGACTTCAAGATCTTCTTGATTCGCCTCAAGTATTCGTTCTTGATGTTCTTTTTCATTTCTTCGCTCATGATATCATCTGATTCTAACACTCCTAAGTATTTGTACGAGTCCCCATCATCTAATGACTTAATTTCTTCTTGATTGGGAAGACGTACTCCTTCGCTCTGTGTGATCTTTCCTTTCTTCATTATCAATACTGCACATTTACTTATGCCGAATTCCATTTTAATATCGTCTGAGAACTCATTAACAGTTTGAACTAATGAGTCAAGTTGTTTCTCATTTTTCCCATACAACTTCAAGTCATCCATTATTATTATTATCATTGTTATTATTATTATTATCATTATTGTTGTTATTATTATTACTATTATTGTTGTTGTTGCTGTTTTTGTTATAATGACTATGATTATTATTATTGTTATTAATATTATCATTTGTATTTTATCATCATTATTATCAAAATCATCAGCATTACTGTTACTGTTTTCATCATTATTATTATCATCACTATTATCATTATCATTAGTATCACTATTATTATTATTATTATCATAATTGTTAATGTTGCTTTATTCATCATTATCGTTATAACTCATCATTATCCTCAGCGTAATTATTACTGTTCTAATCATTATTGGTAATATGATCATTCCTGCCATTCCTATAATTAATGAAATCCTTATCACTGAATTCGCAATCAAAGGCATCGGGGAGTTAACATTACGAGAAAGGATGTGAATGTAATGATAGGGCCCAGACTTAGGGGTTAAAATGTCTGTAACTTCTTCAATAAAACAAAATTTGCTAAAGCTTGCTAGATATTGCTTTATCACTACATATATTGCAATTTTATAAATCGTCGCAACACCATGATACAAAGGGGAACATTAATTACTGACTAATTAATGCCGAAGTCTGGTCCATGGTATCGCATCCGCAATCAAGCCCCGCCCCTTTATCCACGTGATCCAGATGCTTTCTGTTTGTTTAATTAACTGTTTGGTTATTCAGTATGTTGCGTGTAGATTTTTTTTTTTTTGAGTATCTATATGTGAATTTTGATAGGTAGAAGTTCCTTGCATTATGTAACCTTTGATATAGTTTTTCATTTTAACAAATGTCCATTGACTTTAGCGTACAGTAAATCATATTCAGAATGGTAATAGAAGAAAGTATATTTTCTATCATAATTTTATTGACAAATAGAATAATAAATAAGTACTAATTATCAAAGAATATCACTGGGTCGGTTGTACTTTCACACGATGTAAGTCTTCATTTTTCCTGTTGTTCTGATGGCTCTGGAGACAGACAAGTGTTCTGTTCCTCACCCGCGTTGAACTGGTTCTTGCGCCACTTGATGCGTCGGTTCTGGAACCACACTTTCAGTTGTAAATCACTCAGCTGAAGTTGGTTCGCAAGCTGCTTCCGCTCGGGGCCCACCAGGTACTGCTGCCGCTGGAACTCCTCCTCCAGTCGCTGAAGCTGCGAGTCTGTGAACACTGTGCGATGCCGCTTGAGCTTTCCGGGGGCGTCCCTGAGGGCGGTGTCATAAGACTCCTGCTGGAGGAGAGAGAGCGGAGATGCAGGCGGGGAGGCAGTTGTGGCAGGAAGATCCTTTTCAGTGTGATGTCCCAGAAGGGCGTCGATGGTGAAGGCCTTGGCTTTGTAAGACATCCGCGGGGGCGTGACACAGCGAGCAGGAGGGCTGGCGGGCGGCGCCCAGGGGAGGCTGTAGTTCCATGGGTGAATGTTCATCACTGCCAGATGATCCATGTTTGCGGTGGTCAAGGACAGGTATGGTGAGAGAGGTCATTTCTGATCTTATATACCCCCTTTACCTGCCGTCTCCACCAATCAGAAAGAGTCGAGGCTAATTATTGTGCCTAATAACCCCGCCTCTCTATCCCAGAAATAATATGCCACTCGAATAGATGCTACGACACGAACACAGAATATTTTCGTGGAAATATGAGTTATTCAAATTTGTTGAAAGCATCTGATTTCTCTCGACGTGCTATCTCCCCTTAACACGAACGTTGGTTGATTAATATTGCGATGTTTTAATTTTCCCATTAACCAGCACTTTCTTTTGACAACTTGAGTACTGTAGATCCAAAATAGTATCAGCCGAAACGAAAAATAGATTTTATAATATAATAAAAACTCGGTAAAAGTAAAAGAAAACAATTAAAAAACCAGTTTTTTGAATGGGGGGAAAACTATAAAGTAATAAGTATCTATAAGAAGAAAAAAAATACATATATATAGTGGATTAGAAAGACCCAAATACTTCGTCTCCAGGGACACTCACACCCTTACACGGTAAATCAAAATGTTGTACCCCTGGGACGCCCAATTCCCCTCTCTCCCCGCCCATTCACCCTTGGGTCAATACCCGACATTTCACTAACATCAGTTGCTTTATGGTAATTATATTGTTTTCCGGTTATCTTTATTCCCACTTTTTTTTTTACTGGAATCGATTTGTGAAAAAAAGGAAATTTGATTATTCTTGTTTCCAAATAATGCTTTAAGCAAAGGACTTCTCTCAGCACAATTAATAAGTATAAAGTGTGATAATACTGTATATATTTTTATTCCACAAACATGTTCTGTAGGTATTATCTCCTGAAAAGTCTATAGTTTAGTATACAGTTTCATATAATGGTAATAACAGTGTGGTTTGCATGGTAATGAATAAAGGAAGAAGACCCCACCCCTACTATGGGTTAAAGGTGTCCATAAAAATCCTCCTTCAAAACATCCCACGGTGAAAAAAAAATCCAATTGACAACCCCCCGCTTGGTTTTCTACAGCCAACCAAACCCCCTTCGACTTCATTTTCACAGCTAGGGATTTTAATTGCATGAGAAGGAGGTAAACATGCCCCTAGGAGCCCAGAGCCTCATATCATTCCACACACGGGAGAAATAAAATCAAAATAAGGGATGGCCCCTCAACTTAGTATTGTGTCCCTGGGATAGGAACTTAAGGCAAACATCATTTCCGTTTGATTCCATTACACTGGGGGCACTAAGATGGGAATGCTAAATGGTTGTTGCATATTCATTTTGTATATATATATATATATATATATATATATATATATATATATATATATATATACACACACACACACACACACACACACACACACACACACACACATATATATATATATATATATATATATATATATATATATATATATATATGGAGATCATATATGTAAATATAAGTGATAATAATAATATGGTAGTTTTATTACACCATACGGTATCTTAGAAATCCTCGAATTCGTGTCTGTTCTAGCATGATTATGTCACAAAATAGTGGAAGCCAATTTCCTAGTGAATTCTAGTGAATGCGACGGTTTTGGGGACTGTTATGTGCCCACTCATTTCTTTTGAAGAATCCCTCCCAATCTACTATAGCTTACAGTCGCACCATCATCAAAATCATCTTCACTTTCATGACGCCGGGAACTGTCTTCATCTTAAATGGTTATAATTAAGTAAGCGCATATGCCAAATTACGAGGAAAGGTTGGAAGTAAAGAAAAATGGGCGTGATTGGCCATTCATTTAGCTCTGCCGCAGGCGAGCAATCGATAATTTTTTGGGAGTCCCTTGGTGATGAGTAGGAGAGGTGGGGGTGCACGGGGAGGAGAGGGAGGGAAGGGATGGGAATATGTTATATATGTGTATATATATATATATATGTATATATGTGTATATGTATATATATGAATATATATATACAGGGAAAGGGAAAGACATAGAAAGGGGGGCGAGAAGAAAAGAAAAGTGGTTAATTTTCAGTATAGATTTCTTGGCAACTACATCTCATTAGCGGCATCCCATTCAGCGCAGGTTCACACCTACCTGTTTCTTTATACTAATGGAAAAATAATTACTCGCACAGCAGTGCTAACTATAAATGTGCCCTTTTGCTTTATACTGCGATTATCACAAAACACATCAGCACAGTAGTTTTTGTTAAAGTTCAGGACTAGAACGTTTTCACAGCTAATGTAAATCTGATATTTCACATCAGGTCCAGCTATATAAGCAGAGAGATGCCCCTTATCTGTCTCTTCCTACGGGGTATTGTAATCAATATTAACATCTTGGAAAACATGGGTTCACAACCTCGATAATGATAATTGGTCATTATCCCTGGAAACTGTGGCGTTCAATGTTATTCATGAAAAATGCAAATTATCTCATAGTCTGGTGCCAAAAAATCAGTCGGTTTATCAGTTTAAGAACAAGGAGTGATGAGCTACTCCAGTCCAGAACTCGCAAAGAAAACTTGTCGGCGCCTCTGAAGCCTCGACTCTAAGATAAAGTTAATCTTATTGCTGTGACACACCGTAAAGAGGCGACAAAACCTTGGTTGACCTGACTTTGCCGGAAGAGAGCATCCATGACCTCCCTGAAGAACGGATACTGTGAGCATTTCTTCTTTATAATTCCAATATTTCCTACCGTAATACCTCTCCGGATTTTATACATAGTATACACATTAATCATATAAAAAAACATGAGTCACTCGAAAAATATGTGTTAGCTAGTAAGCTTTGGGTATGTATGTATTTTCTAAGAATTTCCTGCGGTCGAGGTTCAAGGGCCAATTACCTCGTTCAACCGTGAAACACCTCCCCTTTGGGACTCGTTCGACCGACCAATTTTGTGGGCAAATAATCTCATTATTGCCCGACCGACCATTCTAAGCTATTAACTGGAGCAGCTACTAATACAATGCTTGGTTTTCCACGAGCCGTTAACGAGGGTGTCATCGGGGGCGCCTTGGGAATAGAGAGAGATGGGAGGGAGGGAGGGAGGGAGGGAGGGAGAGAAAATATTAATCCTGTTGTTCCCCTATTGAAGGCATGGATGAAATATAGGTAGTCGCTGACTTCACTGATACGATCATACTTTTTCAAAAAAATCCTTTAGTCAAACATGCTGTTGTTTGTGTCAAGAAAATATGTAAAGTAAGAACAAGAGGGAAAATGTAAGCATCACAAATGGAATACAAGATAATGATAACGTGGAACTGTACTTTACCTGAGACTAGATTTGACTTGAAACTGGTAATTGCTGCTGCTGCTTTTGAAGATGCAAAGACCGACCAATATCGCTTAAGCTTTTCGCGGGCGCCCCTGGGAGACATTCGTGAGTGACATGGGCGCCCATGGATGACAAAGCCAACATCAAAGACTGGAAGTTCATCGCTGAATGTTGGTCTGCTTTCCTTTGGTCCGGGACAAGTCTTTCGACATCAATGAACCAAAGCCTCATCTGGTGAGTAATAAATATTCATATTCATATTCATAAATCTATTTATTTAACAGTGGTTAATCAATCAACAAAATATACCTATAGAAAACAAGAAAAATACAAAAATAGGACGGTAAATATTTAGAATAAATGAATAAAAACAAGAGCGTACGTAGAGTTCTGAAATTCCAGGAACTGAATAGCCTCCCTATCCTTTTTCTTTACACTTAATCAGCTCGGCATTCTTTATCAAGCTAATCTCAAAGTCAGGATTAGGGGCATTGTTAAGGCAGGAAAAGACAGAGTTTTTAATAAATTGTTTAGTGAGAAAGAAAAGGGATACAAAGAGCATGGCAGTAGGAACGTTTTACGCTTTGATATTTTGATGGTGTTGTGCCCTAGGGACCTCCGCATCTCGGCCTTCTTTCTCCCTCTGCGGTCGGTCCTTGCGATTTTTTTGTGGAATTTTGTAGTTGAAAGGGAGTTAGAAAAGAAAGCGAGAGGTTCAAAAGACCACTGAGTAAACCAGGCTATTGTGTGAAGGATTGGTCAGTATCTTGTCATTAAAAGCCATTGTGTTATCTTTGCTTTAATGATGTGTGTGTATGTGTGTGTTTATATATATGTGTGTGTGTGTGTGTGTGTGTGTGTGTGTGTGTGTGTGTGTGTGTGTGTGTGTGTGTGTGTGTGTGTGTGTGTGTGTACGTGTGTGTGTGCGTGCGTGTCTGTGTGTGTGTGTCTGTGTGTGTGTGTGTGTGTGTGTATGTGTGTATGTGTGTGTGTGTGTGTATTTGCATATACATGCACATATATATTTACACACACACACACACACATATATGTTTGTGTGTATGTGTGTGTTTGTGTTTGGGTGTGTGTGTGTGTAACGGAGTCGTAAGGTGATGTTGATTTTTAGTACTAAGTACATGATCTGGAAAATGATCATCGGTGAATTGATATGCCAATTTACGTGTTATTTTAGAACGTTGAAGGAAATTTGATACCCGGTAATATCCAAATGACATTGATTATATAACTTTGAGGTCAAGGTCAGGAATTTCGTTGAACTCTACAGTAT